GCCGGTGCTTTCTCTTTGCCCTCCATCTCCCGTCACGGCTCGGTCCTGTTCGGCTTGGTTCGGTTAGTCCCTCCGTCAGAAATCCACTTGTCTCCTTTCCTTCCTTTCCTCCCTTCCTTGATGAGCTGTAGTCAGCAAGCGTCGAGCCACAGCAAATGTGGATCGTAAACGGCCGCTGATGGTCGATGTACCGGGCGGGAGAGAGGAGGAGGAGGAGCAGGATGAGGAGGTGCAGGGAGGAAGGAGGGAGGCACCGGGAGGACAGAAACAACCCCGAGGTGTTTTCTCTACAATCCTGCTGGCGGCGGAGCTTCTTCTTCTTCTTCGTCCTCCTTCTTCTTCTTCGCTGAATTTTCTTCTGCGGACGTTGAGGCTTGTGCGTTCACCTGTGCTTCTGCTCTCTCTCCCTCTCTCTCTCTCTCTCTCTCTCTCTCTCTCTCCCTCGTTGCGCCGTGTTGCTGCAGCTCATGTGACGTCACCGCCGGAGGAGTTTTTAAGGTGACATGATGAGGATGATGATGTGAGGAGGGAACCTACAGGAACTTTTAATAAGAGATGGAGGAGGGACTCCACCGCAAAGTACCATGGGAGCACTGACGGAGGGACTACAATCTTCAACCTATTCACATCCTTTAGGCTACTGTCCTAAACTACACTGTTAAGTTTCAGGAAATTGCTAAATAAAGGTTCAATTTTGAGTTTTTTTATTTGTTGTTTATAGCGACACCAGTGGCCGATGAGTGAACTGCACATTGAACATAATCTGGTTTATAATTTAATGAAACATAACAAAATCCAAACATTTTGATTTACACATCAGGCGTTTTCTGACTGCAGGAACTTTCTTGGACCAGTTGGACCTGTCCCCCTTTTATCAGGTGTTTTGAGACCAAACAGTTCCGGGGACTTTGTGAAGAGGAACTTATCCACTAAGGGAGTTCCCTGAGAACTACACGCCATGGGGACTTTATCCTGTCTCTGTCGCCATAGTGCTGAGAGAGTACCTACTCTGAAGCAGGGGCTGATAAGGTTCCTCTAAACGAGGTGCTAGGAACTAAAATATAGTTCCTAGTTCCTGCGGTGCAAAATCAACACAAAAGGGGGAGGGACCCAACAGATCCAAGAACTTTATGAAAAAGTTCCTGCGGTCAGAAAGAGCCTATTGATTCTGCCCCGCAGGAACTATGAACTGTCTTAGTTCCTTCTCTGGTCCAAACAAATCCAGAGCATTCAGGAGCAGAATCTAAAGTTAGAAGGAGGACATACTGACTGCTGCATTGTTGTCAGAGAAGCCAGCACTTCAACATAGCATGTTTCCTTAATGATCAGAGAGTAAGATACCTTTATCATCTCACTCTCTACACAGCTCACTGACTGGACCTTTATCTGCGTTTTCTCTTCATGAAATGTTTCAGATACTCGGAGCAGTCAGGTAAAAATAAATCATATTCTTATAGGAGACCGAGATCCAGAATCTCTGCTTTGTTTTAATCTCATTGATCTGACTCTTACGGTCCTGTCTCATATAAACACAAACATGACTTTACTTTTGATCAGAAACTTCGAGAAGATGTGCGATTTTAAACGGCAGGTTTATTTTTAACCACAGAGTGTTTAGAACTCTGCAGTGATGGCGGTAACAGGACAGGTGAGTCCATGTTTTTATTTTTATTTTATTTCAACCAGTTATTGTTTGGATCACAGCAGGAGTGTTGGCAGTGTGTGTGTGTGTGTGTGTGTGTGTGTGTGTGTGTGTGTGTGTGTGTGTGTGTGTGTGTGTGTGTGTGTGTGTGTGTGTGTGCAGCATATGTTTGTGTTTATATTTGGAGGATGATGGATGGTTCTCGGCTGGCTTGGCGACGGTTCTGATGACGACGACGACGAGGGACTGATCACAAGAAAAAGACTCAGCAGGAAAGAGAGGAGAGCAGGTGGAGTGGAGGACGAGTGCTGAGACAACAGGAAGCAGACAAATACCAACGAGGAAGAGAGGAGAGGAGAGGAGAGGAGAGGAGAGGAGAGGAAAATAATTAAGGAGAAGAAAAGAAGGAAACAGGTGAAGGAGGAGAGGAAATGAGTGAAGGAGGAGAGGATAGGAGAGGAGAGGAGAGGAGAGGAAAAGAGTGAAGGAGGAGAAAAGAAGGAAACGAGTGAAGGAGGAGAGGAGAGGAAATGAGTGAAGGAGAGGATAGGAGAGGAGAGGAGAGGATGAAACCAAAAAGAGGAAAGAGGAAGGAGAAGAGATGAGGACAGGAAAAGAGACGTGGAGTGGAGAGGAGGAAGCAAAAAAGGATAGAAGAGTAAAAAACTAGGGGAGGAAACTAGGAAAGAGGAAACAAGCAGAGGGTAGGGAATATAGGAAGGGAGGTATCAAATAAGGAAAAGAAGCAAGGGGAGGAGAGGACACAAATGAAGAGCAGGGGGAAAGAAAGAAGAGAGGAAACAAGGAGAGGAGACAACAAAGAAGACGAAAGGAAACTAGAGCTTAGATTACGAAACAAATGAGGAATTGAAACAAGAAGTAGAAAGGAGGGAAACAAAGAGAGAAGGAAAGAAGGAAATAAAAGAGGAAAGGAGACAAGAAAAAGAGCTGAGGATGGGAAAAGAGAAGTGGAGAGGAAAGGAAACAAAGGAAGAGAGGGAAAAGGGGAGGAGGAAATAAAAGAGGAAAAGAGATAGGGAGAGCAGCTAAGTTTAGGAAAAGAAGAAAAGGACAGGATGTGGTACAAGGTAAGGAAACTAGAAAGGAGACAACAAGGTGAGGGGAGGAGAAACAAGGGTAGGAATCACAGCTCCATTATTAAATGAGCTGAGGCCTCTGATTCGCTGGAGCTAAAATAAAGGGGCGGGGCTTATTCAAATTAAAACAACAGACATCAGTTTGAGGTATTTTATGAAGTGATTTTTTTTTACATCAGTGGATCCACATTACAGGAGAAAAAGTCAGACAGCAGCCAATCAGATGACAACTCCCTCCATGTCAATGACATCACCTGACAGACCTGCTTTCACACTGGCGCCCCCTGGTGGCTGTGACAGGAAACTGCTTTAGTAATATCTATTAAACGTTGTTAGTTTTTTTAAATGATTAGAGTTCAATTTGAAAGCTTAGAAAATGTATTTTGGAGGAGAGAGGATGAGGAAACAAGAAGAGGAGGAAAGAGTAACAGAGATATAAGGAGAAAAGCCAAAGGTCGGAAAAGAGAGAAAGAAGTAAAAAAAAGACAAGGGGGAGGAAAAAAAATAAAGGTGAAGAAGAAATACAGGAGGAGAGGAAACAAGGAGACAGAAGCAGGGGGGAAAGAAAGAGGAAACAAGAGAAGGAGGAAACGAGAGGAGAGTAAAGAAGCAATTGAGGAAAGGAAAATAAATATGTATTATTATTATTTTACAGTGTCTATACAGAGGTGAGCCCCGGTGATACTAACAGGACGTGTCATCGTGCCATATCTGGCTGACTACATGTTAAGGTTTATTATTAACAGGTCGTTTAGTGCAGCCTCGCCATATCTGTGTGACTATCTACTTGTTAAATCAGGGACGTGTAATACTGCCTCGACCTTCACACCATGTTTGTTTATGTTGTGCATGACATCATAACTTTGGTTCTGTTATTGGTGGATGAACAGGATCAAGAAGTGACAGCTGTTGTGTTCTCTGCAGATGAAGACGGAGAACATTGATTTTGTGCACGAAAACAAACCAGCCCGGTGGCATCACATCCTGCAGAGTCACAACCTACTTAGTAATGAGAGCTGTGTGCATTTCTGTGTTCTCAAACTAGTCTTCAAATGGATCAATAGTCTGGTCCCTGAACGCCTCTCCAGATGTGCTCATGGGCAGAAAGAGGGTAACAAGAAGCACGGTGAATGGAAACTGTAACAAACAACATGCAGATTCTACATTTGCACGATCAGCTTTCTCCATCGAGGGTCGGAAACTCTGGAACACATTAACCACCTGAAATAAAATTAATCTCAGATTTGTATGGAGTGTTAGGGCCACGTTAAAGAAAATGTCAAGATTAAAGTTGGAAATGTACGATACTGGATTTGTAAATTGATATAAATTATGGTATGGTTTTGGTAATTATTATTGTAAAAGGTTGTCTCAGAAGAGCAGCCATCCGCCTGCGTGAAAATGATGAAAAGGGAACCCTCAAAGCCACAAAAGAGTCAGTGTGGTTCTGTCTGCAGAGAAGCCCCATTTTCTTGCAGTATTTTTTCGTCGTTTATCTAGATTTCCTAAACATGGTGGTTATGTAGGTCCGAGAACTGAGCTCTTTTTTTGAGGCTGTTAGAGATTCAACTTGATATCTGACATAGAAAGGACATTTTAACTAAAGTAACTGTAAAACTGAGTGCTTCGTTTGAATTTTTATGGAATTGGGAACATAATTGAGAGCGGGGTTCCTCAGGGTTCCATTCTGGGGACTCAACCGTTTAACATTGGTTCCCAGGATAACAGATTTGTAAACTTAAAACTATTCTAGAAAAAAATAAACAATATCAGTACCTGTTTGAATACCATGGCAACAACAAAATCAAAGTCACCCAATGGTTGTTGTTTTTAATTACCAAATATTGCAGGCAAACTCACACATCTGACGCCAACATATCTGTACAATTTAGACAGTGCTCTCCTTCCCTTTCTTCTTGCTGAAACATGACTGATTTTTTAAATGATGGGGTACTTTTTAAAACCATCAATATATAGATATTTTTGTCTTTTGAAAAAATTGAGAAAAGTATCAAAGTATTGAAAACTAACTACTTTCATCGCTAAGCAGATGACACCCCGATGTAATTTGATAATCAAATCATGTGTGAGTGCATGGGACTACTTTTTCTTAGAAAATTACTCTGAAAACAAGCATGAATGACTTAAAGAACATGTTTTCCCGGTTTGACTGAAGGTCCAGGATTATTTAGGACTAATATTCCAACGTAAGAGTGTTTAAATAAAGAGTAGGCGTGTAGTAACTCACTCAGCAGACTGTGGAAGCTTCTGGTTAAAAGACTTTATGATGACTAACTGTACAGTGAAGTTTAGTGGAGAACCTTCATAGACGGGGAGGAGCTGCCATCTGAAGGGTTAACCCATCCGAGTGAACGTTGCATATAAAGAAATTCATCATCAGCATAAAGCAGAGCAGCAAGATACAGAAAACAAAAACTCACAGTCAAAAGGTTCAAACAGAGAGAGAAGTAAAGTCAGAACGACACACTGAATACATTTCCACCGAGCAGGAGTGTGTGTGGCACTTTGATGGTGTGAAAAACCTTGGAGTGTGTGTCTGTGTTTGTGTGTTTTTCTAATGCTTGTTAAATTAAGTGGTGAGTTTAGCGTCTTTCTGATTCATTAAAACATGTTTGAACAGAGCTGTAGTGTCGTTTCGCTTAATGCAACAAGATGTGTGTGTGTGTGTACTTGTGTGGAGTGTGGTGTGTGTGTGTGTGTGTGTGTGTGTGTGTGTGTGTGTGTGTATTTTCACTAATTGCACTTGAGGATGAGGACATGTAGATCACATTGCCGGTCAGATGTCTGCAGGTTTTTTTTGGCATGTTTCTGGAAATGTTTGAGGACGTTGAAAACACAAAGACATATTGAAAAAAAAAAAACAACACAACAGGAACCAACTCGCCTCAGCAAAACCAGCTCAGGAACAACTACAACTCCCATGGTGCTTAGCCACAGGCACAACCAAAGCCTCATTAAAAAGATTGATCTGTTCATTAATAGTGACTTTCTGAACTGATTGGTAAAAATCAATGTGTAAATTCATTTCATTTTTTTCAGCTTCTGTTCCAAGAAGCTTCAGCAGCTGCCAGCCAATCAGCTGTTGACGTTAAACCAGCTCCTATCTCTGATTTCTCTCATTTACTGTTCAGCACACGGACTTCACTTTAAAAAAATGAATAAAGCGGTCACCTGGAAATATCTAAAAGCTTTTCCTACACAAAAATAAATCTCTGTTAAACATGCCTTTAGCACGTTAAGAATAAGACCCATGTACGATTGGAGTTACATGGTTATCTACTCTCGTATTGGACAGCCAAAAAAGATTCAATTGACAAAACTCTGATTGGCTTAAAACTTAGGGTGGTTTCACGCTTGACTCTGAGTCCGCTTGAATAGGTGGTCTTGGGCACGATCTGTGTACGGTCTGCGGGAGATGTGAACGCAACTGTGCTTAAACAAGGAAGTGGGCCGCTATATAACGTGATTTTAAACGACTTCTGTCGCTTCTAAAACTATCTTATCCGAGCAGCACAGGCTCGTTTGGTCCACTGAGGTAGATGTGGATGTAGGAAGAGAGTCTTTGTTGGAGTGTCAGAAATAAGAAAACATCCACAGTTAGCAGGATCAGTGCACGAGTGGTTGCCATGGTTGCTGCTTCTTCTTCTTCTTTCTGCTTTTTGGCAGATTTGAAAACCAACAACTTGTGTACTGCCACCTTCTGTATCAGACTGTGTAGGGTTTCTGAATACAGAACGATGTAATTATGAATTTGAACGCAGCCCAGCGGGGGAGGGGGAGCGTGCCAAATGTGAAAACACCCTCATTAAAAGCTGATATTAGCTCGTTGCATTTGATCTGTTTTCATGATGACTGATCAGTTTCAGTAAATGTCAGAACAGAAATGTCAACTGTTCAGAGATAATTTAGAAACAGTGCCTCCATTACAGCATTTAGATGAAATGATCTAAAACAGTGTGATTCTTGATCACAATTAATAAAAAAAAAGGATGAATTTAACATCCTGAGCTGGTTAAACTTAAGGAGAGATTAACCCAACACCTAAAAACACCAAAGAAAAAAGCAGCAGAAAAGGAAACATCAAACACGAGTTCATACTCGACAGTGAAGCAAACAGAAAAATGCAATAAACTGATAAGTACTAAAAATTAAAGTGACAGGAGCAAGTGGAAAGAGATGTCTGTGATATCATGTCTAAATGAATATTCTGTGACAACATACGGTCATAGAGCAGCAGATTAACCTGAGTGTTAAACTGTGGAGAAGACTGAGTACACAGTGCTGTGTTCAGGGGCTGTAGGAAAATGCCGTCACACCTTGTTCACACACAAAGCTTCAAAACAAGGCGTCAGTCTGCAGCTTTCAAGCTGTTCAAGTAGAGATGATTAGGGAGATATTTTCTGATGTTAACTGATGCAAAGCACCACTTAACTCCTTTATTTAGAGGAGAAGAAAGTGACAAGTCTTTGGGAGTTATTTCGGATTGTATGTCTACTGCATCCCTACAGTTCCTAAAGTATTTTGTTCACTAACTGTTAGGAGGTTGGTGAGGGTATCCTTCTTTATACTTCCAATGTGCAGATTCAAATTGATTTGAAACATGTAAACAACTAAAATCTATCTCAAATTACTAAAAAAAACTGAGTGCTTTGTTTGAACTTTTATGGAACTGGAAACACAATTAAGAGTGGAGTTCCTCAGATTCTATTCCATTCTAACAGACTCCACTGTTCAACCTGGACCCCTTCTCGGACAAATCCTCCACAATGATAAAATAATTTCTTATCCCGATTGGTGTTCTCAAGATACCAGATTTTACACTTGGGATGGAAACTGATTTTTTTACTAGTGTCTTTTTTAAGTCCTACTCAGGGATATATATTCAAATTCCAACAGAACCGTGTTTCCTGAATGTTTGAACCACACTGCTCTCTGATCAGCATGCCACCTGAGAGACCTGATTCAGTATCACTGTGTACTTGGTGCTCTGCCACTGGATAATAGACACATTTAAAAGCTGCAGTATGGCCAATTCTTCAAAAGGTGTCACCTGTCGACTGATATGATACATTATTTCAGAATCAGGACCAACACGGCGTCCACCATCAAGAGGAAAGTGGTGTTTTTTTGTTTTTTTTTTACATTCTGTGCAAAATTAGACGAAAAGTAGTCCACACATTATCATCAGTCTCTATTTTTCTGTCTACACAAATCAGTGTTCAGTCAGTTTTCTGCTATTTACAGTTAGTTTCTAAGACGTTAGTACCATCATCCCCCAGTGGGACTAAGACATTCTTCACATGGATAAAATCCACCTTCAAAACAACTCTGCAATCTTTACTCCTGGGTTAGAGAATTCTGTTTGGGCCATTTGGCATCCCCAATTCCTTATAATGTTTTTTAAGTTTCCTTACAGGAAATCTCACTCAATGATCTTGTTGCAGTTCTGAGCATTGATATGAAAGCCAATCATACGATACTGTCTGAGAAACTAGCCCTTACTTGTGACAACATCTCCGAGAGTATCTCAAAATTAAAAAAGAAAAGATTGGACTCTTTAAATTACATTGAAGGAACCTGAATTTCTGTGATCACAAGTTTCTAACATCTTTGCTACAGAATATTTAGTACTATTACAATTGTTAAGTGATAACTACTGGCCATTATTTATATCAATGAACCAAATTTAAACCTCAAACAGGCTTCTGTGACGTTTTCAGGAGTTGTTGGTTTCCTGTCATTTCCAGGATCCCTGATCGTTGAACTACTCTTACGTAGGAACATCAATTCCATCTTACGGTGGATTTTTTTTTTTACTCTTCCTTCAGCTTTAAAAACAACCTGCTGCTATTCAGCTGTCTATTTAAAAGGCAATCAGCAGGTAAAAAACACAGGGCACACAGTGAAAGTGGAGGGAAGAGGGAGAGGGGAATAGAAAAATAAAAATAAAATAAAATAAAAAACTGTGGCAGACATAACTGGACAATCACCTCACTTCACTCTGTGGCAGAGAAACATAAAAATGTACAAAATAAAGTTTCAGAGGAGGTGGGGCACCGGTCGTGAAGAAGGAAGGCAGAAAGGAAAAAGGGAAGAGGAGGTCTCAGAAAAACTTGTCGTCGATGCGGAAGTGCGGTCGCGTGACGTCGTCTGGGTTAATAAAGACTGAGATGGACTTCCCAGGATTCTCTGTAACCAGCTGCTGAAGCTTTTTGGCGAGACGGTCATCTGGCTGATTCTCTCCACCGGCGTCGGACTGAGGAGATGGCAGGTTGTTGGCACTTCCTCGCCATTGCAGGTCCACGGTCAGCCTGTTGGCCGCCTTGGCGTGCTCAATGGTGGTGCGGAGGTGCTCTGCGGGGTCCGAGCGTACCGAGGAGAGTTTGCGGGCATGCAGCATGGCGGTCTCGTCCGACAGGTGTTCCAGCATGTTGCACTGTGGAATGAAGTAATTGGGACACATCTTGTTGACCAGACAGTGCTGCAGGTCGTCGATCAGGCCCAGCAGGAAGTGGGCAGAGAAGTCGTCCTGAGACAGGTAGTTGGCTGGGAGGCGGTCGCAGGCCCACAGCATGATACTGCGAAGGTGGTAGGGGCTGATTGCTTTGGGGCGAGACAGCAGCTTGATGATAATGGCTTTACACGCCTGGTACGCCTGCATCAGGCTGGACGAGATGCACTTCTTCAGCTGCACCTCGCTGCGGGCAAACGACAGACGCCACTCGTTCTCCTTGCGGCCTTTGTTGGAGCAGGCAGGGACGAGGTAGAAGCCACTGATCACCTCCTCCTCTGTGATCTTTCCATCCCAGAAATGGTTCTCCATCAGCCAACTCTGAGCAACGGCTGGCCAGCCCTTAAACGACACCACTGGGACGATGTCGTAAAGCATCCTGCTGCTCCCAACACCCAGGATAACGGAGATAATGGTGCCGTTCCTCTCCACCTTCTCCACTCTGGGCATCCCTCTCTGCGGCTTCTTCTGTACTTCCAGCAGCACCAGGGAGATGGACTGGTAGAACCAGTCGGCCACGAGTGTTGGTGAGAAGAAGTAGTTGGTAGTCCCGTTGATGTGGTCGACGATGGTGCAGCAGTCCTTCCACTTGTTGATGGTGCCTTCATCAAAAAGGCGGAGGCTGAGCCAGGAGTGGCCCAAAGCCGAGTGCCTCATGTCCAGCGTCACCGGCTGGTTGCGGTCGTGGAGTTTGAGTGCCGGGACGAGCAGGGTGAAGTCCATGTCATAGTCTGTTCCGCGGGCGTAGACGCTGAGCTCGTCCAGATCCATGTCGACCACACCCTCCCGAACGCCCCCTGACAGGAGGAGGTACTCGTTGGCCACCGGGAGCTTCTGGTCCAACTTCTGTACCATTCCTGAGAGACGAGGAAAAACAGACGGTACGAGGTAAGAACTATGGCATCATAACACAAAATAGCGCAAGAGGTGTTGTCCGTTTATAATGTCTCAAATAGCAAGACTCCACAATCATAAGAACTTTTTTAAATGTAAGCTCTCCTGCTGCATTTCTAACCCAGGGATCTTAGAAAGTCCTCAGCCCAAGGGAGTTTAATCTCCCCCTCTAAAAAGGTCCCTACAATGGGGGGCACTGCGTTGGAAAAGTACAGGGAGTTAGGGGTAGGGACTTGCAGCACTGAACCTTTCTGTTAGGTTGAGTACTTTACTGCATCCAGGCATTTCCTTCACATCGCTATAATATTTTTCAGCATCTTCACAGCTGTATGGATAAGCCATAAAGGGTTGGTATAAAAAAACAAAGATTCAACCTGACTGACTACAGCTTGACAATATCTGATTTAAAGAATGTCAAAAAGATTCTGATTATTTGATGAAATCTTCAGAAACAAAGTTCAGTTTAATGCAACACATTGACACTTGAGTTTACAATCTCAAACATTCAAACTCAACCCAAATGATCACCAGGTATAAGAACCATGACAGGTTCAAGTTTGTCCAGGTGTGTTAGTTTCCTGTTACCTTGCTGTGGTCCTCATGTCTGAATTTCAGGTTTCAGGTAAGACTGGACTTTCATGATTTTAGTGATTTCTCTGTCGGGTTAGGGTTAAAGTTTGGTTTGTTTAAAGGTTGTCTTTGTGGGTGAGTTTGGAGTCTGGACTGTGTCAAAAGACAGGGTATTGTGTTCACCAGCACCAGTGTGACTGGTTTGGTCTGGACTGGTTTTCTGCTCTGCTGAACCAAAAGTGAAAAGACGCACACACTTCCTGGCTGATGAGCGCATTCCTGTGCTGTATCGGAGTGGACGGACACAGTTTGTTTGGTGGTTTTTTAAACAGCTTCTCAGAAACAGTTTAAACTGATCACAGACAGATACGTGACCAGAATACTCATTTTGTGACCTTTCTCTTTAAATTGCTTTTATCCCTCTGAGGTTGATCTTGAATAATCCATTTCAACATCATTTGAGCATAAATATTGAAAAATAGGCAAATAAATCAGTCTAAATAATCAGGCCTGTGTTTGCCTCTTTTCAACTAATTTAGCCCAATAAAAGAAAATCTTCAAGTTTGAGATTACTTCTGATATTTCCCCATTTATCCACGTTTAAACTTAATATTTCTTCCGACCAGGCACCCCGAAGCTTGACCCAACGTTAATAATAATACATTAGACTTTTACAGTTCTTTTCTGAGTACTCAAAGATGCTTAACAAAGAATAAAACAAAACAAAGAAGAAATAACACTAGAGAAGGAGGATGAGAACAAAGATTGTTAGTGGTTGTAGGCGATGTTGAAGAGGTGAGTTTTAAGGATTTCTTTAAGGTGGAGAGTGAGGGGGGTCTGGGGGGAATGTTTTTAGGGATGTATTTAAAGGTCACATATTCTGTAAAATCCTCTCCACCATATTTTTATAACCATAGCATGTGTCTCTAGTCCGTCTACAAACCCCCCAATGATGAGAAAAGTCCATCCTCTCCGTCTTCTTCCTGCTCTACTTTCCAGAAAATGTGTGCTCAAACAGGCCGTTTAGAGATTTTCTCTTCATGACATCACAAAGGGCAGTAGCCCCTCCCCCAGGTGGGTGACACTCCCACAGCTAGGTGTTTGTTCTGCCCTCTGAGTCTGCCTTCTCACCGTAAACAATAGAACATGGAGCGAGAAAGACTGAGACACCCAAGTCCTTCCAGAGAGGGGGCGTGGTCAGACACAGCTCATTTACATATTTAAAGGTACAGACACAGAAACAGCCTGTTCTGAGCAGGGCTGAAATAAAGGGGTTTATATACATGATCAAATACAGGATCAGAGTGGATTTAGAACAAGAAACTTCACACACATGTTTTGAGGAGCTCTGAGACTTATTTAAACTGAAGAGGAGGAGGAGGATATGTCACCTTTAAGGAAACTGTCCAGCAGAAATCATCTTCAGTTTTGGATGAAAGTTAAAATGAGGAAACTCGTCCCAGCACATCTCTGACGTTCTCTCTCTCTCTCTGGATAAACACAAGCTGTGAAAACATCAGGAGCTTTGCTCGCTTCCTGTTTGAACATTTTGGAAACTATTTTTGTGTGCAGAGCAGACGGGATCCGACTCGTCTGTCCACAACTACATGAGCTTCAAGAAAATCTGATTTGCATTCAAATCAAAAGGAATCTGAGTCACCGCAGAGTGTCGGAAACACTCTGTAAATTTAGCTCTTTATTCAAACGCGTGGGTCGGTCAGTTGGTTATCTTTTGCAGTGTGTTGTGCTCTGAGTGTTTACAGGATGCTGTGTTCAACTATTTTAATCCAGATCTTGGACGAGGTCCAGCATCATAATGAGACGCTCCAACAGGAAACATTTTCACTGATCAGACGTCACATTCCTGCAGTTCATCCTCCATATTTCCTCTCTGCAGTCTCAGTAATGATCCCGACGACAGGACCAACACTGATGTTAATAAAGTTTTATCAAAGTGGAGAAGTGACCTCCCTGTGTCAGAACACGCTTTGTCTCAAACTTCATCACTCAGGAAAAGTCTGTGAGGAGGTCAAACAGAACAACTTTGTGTCATTTAATAAGAGGTGTACTCATTTACGCAGTTCATACTGAACACTACGTTCGATAGAAGTATTAAGTAGGCGGTTCCGAAAACAGCCTTTGTCTGACCTAGTGACCAAGGGGGCGGGGCTAGTAACCAAGGAGGGGTAAGTGGGCGGGGCTTGAAAAAGGGTCAGTTCAGACGGTGTGCAGGTGTTTGCCTGCGACTTTGTAAATTAAAAACAAGAAAATACCCAAAACTGTGTGGCTTGGACGTCTAGTTTTGTTTCCATGGTAACCAAACAGTTGTGTTTGATTTTTACCAGTCGGCCAAAAACATCTTAGGTTTATATATGTTTAATAGTACTCAGAGGCAACTGCTTGGGGCCCCAGGCCAGAAGGGGGGCCCCAAGGGGCTGATAAACCTTAAACCACAGCACGGGCTCAAAATGTGCAAATTTTGCAATGACAGTAAGAAACCTCCCTAAGCGGGCCCCACCTGACAGCTCTCACTCATATATCAGTTGACTGAATGATTCTTGTCTAAATATGGGGGAGAAACGTCGACTTAATTATTTTATTGGTGTAGCATTATTTGTGACATAATGGGGATGGACGCTGGTTGGAGGGGCCCCCCTGTGGCCCCCCTGTGGGTCTCTGCCCTGGGCCAGAACAGAATCCAGAACCGGTGCTGGTAGTACTGTGAGAGCAGGTGGAGCCCGGGGCTGCAGCAGCTCTCCTCTGGAATAAACACCGTAAAGCCTCAGTGTGTTCCCCGTTAGATAACGGTGTGTGTGTGTGTGTGTGTGTGTGTGTGTGTGTGTGTGTGTGTGTGTGTGTGTGTGTGTGTGTGTGTGTGTGTGTGTGTGTGTGTGTGTGTGTGTGTGTGTGTGTGTGTGTGTGTCCTCACCCAGCATGGAGAAGATGAAGTCCTTCGCCGTGTGGATCTCCAGAGCCCGCTGGTCGTCGTACTCTCTCTGGTCGTGCTTGCTGAACTCCTGGATGAGGCGGTTCAGGTCCTCCATGCGGGCCGCCGACCTGAAGTCGAGCTCGGGCCCGACGCCCGGGAGTCTCCCGGCGGCCATGGTGGGGCTGTTCCCGACGCTGCCCGCCGAGCCGGACCGACTGGAGAGAGCAGGGGCCGCCATCTTTCCTCCGCGGTCACACACAGGTCCACTACAGCTAAAACCACCGCTGCTGGTCGGGTCTGAGCCGAGCCGAGCCGAGCCGAGCCTAAAACCACACCAAACACAACCGCCGGAAACAACAGCCGCGCAACCGCTGCTCACCGCCTTCAAAATAAAAGAGACGAGTTTGAGTGTTTTTTAATTAATAAAAAATATATCTTCATTAATTGTACATTTGATGAATGTTTAAGAATAATTATGATTGCTAGATTCTCTTTGAACGAATGCGCAGCCAACGCTTTATTAAATATGGATATATTAATTAATAAAAATCCAATACAATGTTGTCACTCTTTCATTACTACTCTCTCCTTCCTGCTGCAGTCAGACTGTTTAACCAAGCCTGCTCCCAGTAGATCACACACACACACACACACACACACAGACACACACACAGACACACACACACACACACACACACAGACACACACACACACACACACAACCGGACAATTCACTCTGACATTGTGCAATAATAATGTTATATTAATGTTATGTTAATGTTATATTATGCTTAACCATCCACTTTGTGCAATACCATGTCTGTGTTACACGGAATATTACAGACTACACTTTTTGTCAAATAGCTGATCTATTTTTTTTTTTTAATATTTTTTTTTGTACATTCTTCTTTTTTTCTTTTTTTCTTTAAATTGTACTGTGTTTCCTTTTTTGTCTGCAATCTTTGCTCTTTGCTGTTGTAACAATGTAAATGTCCCCGTTGTGGGATAAATAAAAGGTTATCTTATCTTATCTTAATGAAAAGAGGAACACATTAATTTGGATAAAAAATGTAATTTGCTTCACTTTTATTTTACTTTGACAGTCTTATCCGGAAATGTATGGGTATGTGTTTGACGCTAACTTTGCTGATGTGTAAATTACGACGTTTGTAAAGTGTTGCAGTAACAATGTCTGTCCTGCAGGTGTCGCTGTCATGCCCTGGGAGCTCCGAGTTGTTGACCCGGTAGTGACCGACCTGTCGGGGTCACCGTCACCGAGCTCCGTCATGGCGTGGAGGAGCTGCTCCGTGCTGCTTCGACTTACCGGAGAGAATGTTTTACGGAGCTCCGCGAGGGGCGGCAGGTCAGTCACCGCAGCCGGGGGGAGGCAGCCTCTCCCCGGCTGACAGACAGACGCTTCCCCGTTAGCTCTGTTAGCCGTGTGGCTAACAGAGCTAACGGTTTGTTTGTGTTTATTTGTTGAAGTCTGAACGTGTTTAGTTTTATTTATCATTAAGTTTGAGATAAATATTAAAATATGGATTTAAGTGATAGATTATTGTCATTTATGAGGGTTTTCCCCCTTTATCAGCAGATAATCACTTACCTGTAACATCCCCATAAAGACAAAACCACCAAGTCAACAAAACCGGTTACTGTACAGGAGTCCTTCAAACTGAGACTCAGACTGCATCCCAATTACCAAGTACCTACTCAGTCTGTCAGTAAACAGTACCTACTCAGTCTGTCAGTAAACAGTACCTACTCAGTCTGTCAGTAAACAGTACCTCTTCAGTCTGTCAGTAAACAGTACCTCTTCAGTCTGTCAGTAAACAGTAGGCAGTAAACAGTACCTACTCAGTCTGTCAGTAAACAGTACCTACTCAGTCTGTCAGTAAACAGTACCTCTTCAGTCTGTCAGTAAACAGTACCTCTTCAGTCTGTCAGTAAACAGTACCTACTCAGTCTGTCAGTAAACAGTACCTCTTCAGTCTGTCAGTAAACAGTAAACAGTACCTACTCAGTCTGTCAGTAAACAGTACCTACTCAGTCTGTCAGTAAACAGTACCTCTTCAGTCTGTCAGTAAACAGTACCTACTCAGTCTGTCAGTAAACAGTACCTCTTCAGTCTGTCAGTAAACAGTACCTCTTCAGTCTGTCAGTAAACAGTACCTCTTCAGTCTGTCAGTAAACAGTAAACAGTACCTCTTCAGTCTGTCAGTAAACAGTACCTCTTCAGTCTGTCAGTAAACAGTACCTCTTCAGTCTGTCAGTAAACAGTAAACAGTACCTCTTCAGTCTGTCAGTAAACAGTACCTCTTCAGTCTGTCAGTAAACAGTAGGCAGTAAACAGTACCTCTTCAGTCTGTCAGTAAACAGTACTTCTTCAGTCTGTCAGTAAACCGTACCTCTTCAGTCTGTCAGTAAACAGTACCTACTCAGTCTGTCAGTAAACAGTACCTACTCAGTCTGTCAGTAAACAGTACCTCTTCAGTCTGTCAGTAAACAGTACCTCTTCAGTCTGTCAGTAAACAGTAAACAGTACCTACTCAGTCTGTCAGTAAACAGTACCTCTTCAGTCTGTCAGTAAACAGTACCTCTTCAGTCTGTCAGTAAACAGTAAACAGTACCTACTCAGTCTGTCAGTAAACAGTACCTCTTCAGTCTGTCAGTAAACAGTAAACAGTACCTACTCAGTCTGTCAGTAAACAGTACCTACTCAGTCTGTCAGTAAACAGTACCTCTTCAGTCTGTCAGTAAACAGTACCTCTTCAGTCTGTCAGTAAACAGTACCTACTCAGTCTGTCAGTAAACAGTACCTCTTCAGTCTGTCAGTAAACAGTACCTCTTCAGTCTGTCAGTAAACAGTACCTCTTCAGTCTGTCAGTAAACAGTAAACAGTACCTCTTCAGTCTGTCAGTAAACAGTACCTCTTCAGTCTGTCAGTAAACAGTACCTCTTCAGTCTGTCAGTAAACAGTAAACAGTACCTCTTCAGTCTGTCAGTAAACAGTACCTCTTCAGTCTGTCAGTAAACAGTACCTCTTCAGTCTGTCAGTAAACAGTAAACAGTACCTCTTCAGTCTGTCAGTAAACAGTAGGCAGTAAACAGTACCTCTTCAGTCTGTCAGTAAACAGTACTTCTTCAGTCTGTCAGTAAACAGTACCTCTTCAGTCTGTCAGTAAACAGTAAACAGTACCTCTTCAGTCTGTCAGTAAACAGTACCTCTTCAGTCTGTCAGTAAACAGTAGGCAGTAAACAGTACCTCTTCAGTCTGTCAGTAAACAGTACTTCTTCAGTCTGTCAGTAAACAGTACCTCTTCAGTCTGTCAGTAAACAGTACCTCTTCAGTCTGTCAGTAAACAGTAAACAGCACCTCTTCAGTCTGTCAGTAAACAGTAAACAGTACCTCTTCAGTCTGTCAGTAAACAGTACCTCTTCAGTCTGTCAGTAAACAGTAGGCAGTAAACAGTACCTCTTCAGTCTGTCAGTAAACAGTACCTCTTCAGTCTGTCAGTAAACAGTACCTCTTCAGTCTGTCAGTAAACAGTAGGCAGTAAACAGTACCGCTTCAGTCTGTCAGTAAACAGTACCTCTTCAGTCTGTCAGTAAACAGTAAACAGTACCTCTTCAGTCTGTCAGTAAACAGTAAACAGTACCTCTTCAGTCTGTCAGTAAACAGTACCTCTTCAGTCTGTCAGTAAACAGTACCTCTTCAGTCTGTCAGTAAACAGTACCTCTTCAGTCTGTCAGTTAACAGTAAACAGTACCTCTTCAGTCTGTCAGTAAACAGTACCTCTTCAGTCTGTCAGTAAACAGTACCTTTTCAGTCTGTCAGTTAACAGTAAACAGTACCTCTTCAGTCTGTCAGTTAACAGTAAACAGTACCTCTTCAGTCTGTCAGTTAACAGTAAACAGTACCTCTTCAGTCTGTCAGTAAACAGTAAACAGTACCTCTTCAGTCTGTCAGTAAACAGTAAACAGTACCTACTATCTGCTGTATACTGTTTAGTACCTACTGTTCAGTAGGCAGATATTTGTTCCTACTTCTTCTGATTCATTCAGTGAGGAAGTGACGTCATTTACGTTTCCTGAACCGGCCACATTCACCCGTTCTTTTTTTTTTTTTGTTTATGTTTATTCAAGAAGAGTAATGCTCATATACAGTCAGGTAAACAAAAAACAATATCACAATGTAAATCAAGAAAAAGATTAAATAACTAAATAACATACAATACATAAAGAACAAATGAAAGACAGTAATATACAGAATATAAAATAAACCAATAAAGACGCATTTAAATAGTGAAATCATTATTTAAATAGTGAAATCATTATTTAAATAGTGAACTCATTATTTAAATAGTGACATCATTATTTAAATAGAGGGAGAAAGGTTTTATAATAATGCAGATATTTGTTTTATTTTCTGTTGTTAATTTAAAGTAGTGATTTCAGTCGGGACTTTAACTCTAGATTAAAAATTGATTCTATTAATCCACGCTCGTTTGTTTTGATTTGGAGGCGGACGTGAAGTGACGATTTACGTTTAATTGCGCACTGCATTGTGGGTAAAACACAATTAATTTCCTGAAAGGATTCATCCGATCCATACTGCATGAAACCAGGAAGTTAGTATCCATACTGAAATGTTCAGTATACTGAGGTGGACCCAAAAAATGACCACGAGGGTTCAGTGTACTGAAAAGTACTGACTACTGAACTGTGGATATTATATTATATTATATTATATTATTATATATTACATTATATTATATTATTATATAAAGTACTGACTACTGAACTGTGGATATTATATTATATTATATTATTATATATTACATTATATTATATTATTATATAAAGTACTGACTACTGAACTGTGGATATTATATTATATTATTATATAAAGTACTGACTACTGAAATGTGGATATTATATTATATTACATTATATTATATTATTATATAAAGTACTGACTACTGAAATGTGGATATTATATTATATTACATTATATTATATTATTATATAAAGTACTGACTACTGAACTGTGGATATTATATTATATTACATTATATTATGTTATTATATAAAGTACTGACTACTGAAATGTGGATATTATATTATATTATATTATTATATATTATTATATAAAGTACTGACTACTGAAATGTGGATATTATATTATATTATATTATATTATATTATTATATATTATTATATAAAGTACTGACTACTGAAATGTGGATATTATATTATATTATATTACATTATATTATATTATATTATATTATATTATATTACATTATATTATATTATTATATAAAGTACTGACCACTGAAATGTGGATATTATATTA